ACTTTAATTATATTATGACGTCATGGATCTCTTCCCCCTTGCATATATATTAGACCCCCCCTGTCTAATAACACGAATTTCAACAAAAGAAATATTCAACCATCTTGAATATTATTATTATGTAGTTTCCAAATGGTTGCCCCCGTGTGAGGTGCCTTGCGCGCGATCTCCTAGCTCAAATCATTTACATATATTATTTCATATTTTTGCCCTTTAAATTGTAATTGCCCTCCCCCTGCCACTTTTCCTTTTGTTTTTTTTGACACCTCTTCGCCTCGTGGTATTAAGCTCAACACTTTTCCTTTTGTTTATTTTGACACCTCTTCGCCTCGTGGTATTAAGCTCAACACTTTTCCTTTTGTTTACTGACACTCTTAGCTACGGGGTATTTAAATCAATCCTTTTCCTTTTGTTTTCTTTTCCTTCGTCATGGTCAGTAGGCCTCGTGTTGTCTGACGAGATGGACTTGTAATGAACGCTTGGTGACTGAAATAGACCACAACAGCACACACACGTACGCACTACAATGCGTACTACGAGACAAATACAGTCCATTTATTGAAGAAGAACGCCCGTAATTGGGAAAAGCCGCGTCGCTGTCCGAAGAGGAGGCTGGGGATCCGATCCGAGAAGAGTCCGGAGAGAGAGACAAAGTTTGAGCTCCAAAAGTGTGGAGAAACTACCCCCATCCCAGGCACGCGCATCAACATTAAGTGGTCCTTCGAGCCGGATCATGAAGACAACGTCCTACGGATTAGACAATGTCTTGAGTCAATTGAAGTAAGCAGTCTCCATAAAAATGTCCTATCAACGTAGCCCCAATGCAAGTCAGCTGGAGGCCCTGATGAGAGTGATCTTCCCCAACAACTCCACGAGGGAGCAGCGGGAAGGCTCACTGGTCAGAGAGAGACTTGCAGAGGGGAGCTATAGAGGATCAGGATAATAAAGTTACCACAATGACCCTGGAAGAGCAGAAGGCTGCACTTCGCAGGTCCATAGGGATTTTAAAAGGAGCTATCACGAGGTTGAGTAAACAACTTAAGGCGGACCTCGCTGCCGGAACACGGGTCTCTAGAACCTACATACGCTACCGTCTCATCAACCTCAAGAGCAGTAGTGAGGTCCTTCATAGAACCTATGTCATGTACCTCAGCCTTAACCTTACTGTGGAGGAGGTGCTGAAGGCGGGAGAGGACGAGATCGTCTCCCAAGAGATCGTCGAGCTCATTGTCAAGGTGGAGGAGCACTTGAAGGATCGAGTGGAGGAATCCTTGACATCATTGAGAGAGATTGGCGACGTTTGGATCCGTAAGTTTGCGGAGGAGTCGAGAGAAGTTTTCCATGAAGAACTGCTTATTTTGAAGACGAGGGATCCACGGAGGGAGAAGCTCATCGGGAAAGAGTGTCAGATGAGGAGGCCCTTCGGGAGGAAACCAGGAAAAGGGAAGCAGAGGAGCGCCAAAGGGCCCTTGAAAGATTGAAGGCGGAGCACACGAAGCGAGCCGAGGAGACCCATGATGAGATGGAGCGACTTCAAAGAGAGTACACTGCTAAAGTTGAGCGTCTTAGGAGGGAGCAAGAGACGGCAGAAAAGTCCATGAAAGAGGTGGAGCAGAGCCTTCGAGAAGAACGCAAGGAGGGCTCAGCCAAGTGGGTTCCTTCTGAGAGTTCTCTTGGAAGAAATGCTCTATAGCGGTCCGTGACCGTCCTTCGCAAAGTGGGGAGGAGCACGGAACTGAGGAGACTACCTTCAGAGTGAAAAGGTTTTTCTACATGGACGACTACTCGTACAGTCATGACAGTGAAGAGGACGCCATCAGAATCTCTATTGGTTTATTGAATGCTCTAAAAGAAGGAAACTTTAACCTGAAAAAGTGGTCTTCAAAT